TCATCATCATCATCATCATCATCATCATCATCATCATCATCATCATCTCTTGTTATCAATCATCTGGATACATCCAACTTCTCCACTCACAAAATCATTCTTCTTCATCTTCAGGAACGCCCCCCATCCTCTGGGACCTTGGAAATCCCCCGAGACCCGGTGCCCCTGACGTCGGAACAAGTGCCCGTGACTGGGTCGGAGCATCCTGGCCACCAAGACCTTCTCGTAGGGCAAGCGCGGTCGCGAAGCACCCAAGGGCAGGATGAGCTCACCGGAGTTGGTGACCTCACCAGGAAGAGAGATGCTTCGCTGCCAGGAGCTACTAGGTCCGGTGCCTTCTTGTTACTGGTAAACACAAGAAAAATCAGACTCACCCTCATCAAATAAAGGATTTGAATCTGGAGAACTCTCAATCCTGCAGGGCACTGCCCACTTCATGTCCCAGAATGTCCCAGATTCGTTCTGAGCTCTCTGTTCCGCTTGGACGTGTGAATCCTACTTCTATCTCAGCGCGCAACGATAAGCGTGATTCCAGTGCCTTTTTGTCTCAAGAGTGACGTGGAGTGGTTGGTTTCCACTAGGTTCCATTCACAAAAAAACACAGCATTTCCTCGGTCAAAGTGGCTCGCGGCCAGGGAAATGACTAATGACCACCATGATTTCCTTGCTTCAGGGTTTTGGTTCCAGGTCTATGTTATACTCTCCTTACTGCGCTGGCCATGGTGACTTCGACCCTAGCGACAGGTCACGTTTCCTTGCAGAAGTTCAATGTCAAATAATGCCTGGGAACCAGAACAAGCAGAAACAAATGGTGGTTCCATGTTGTTCCAATATGGCTTGAGATCCTTTACATAGGAAATTGCTGTTTGGGGAAGCATCAATCTCTTTCTGGTTATTTGGGCTTTCAGGTGCAAATCAAGGCGGCTGGAACAGCTTTGGTATTAATGTTCTCATGTACACCAGGTGTTGTTGCTTCAATTCCATATCAACACATATCGTCAAATATGCCAATCAGCGTTGCATGGTTCTTTGTTTCGGGGGTTTGGGGAGCCGAACCAAACCAACAAAAACAATACAGCTACACCAGAAACGTGGACATTTGCAGAGCAATATTGCTGAATTCATACAAATTTGTATGGGTCGCAGGTATAGCTGGTATTACCTGCTAGAATCAAACAACTAGAGAATGATTCACCACGACGAGGTTCTCCTTTTCAGCACGGTTTCGGGACCGAATCGGGCCACCGAGGGCCCGGACCTTCAGCCACGTCCAAGTGCTGGTGTGGCGCAGGCCCCAGTGTGGGAAGAGATCTTCCAGGACAAAGGCCTCGTGAGATCTTGGAATCCCATGGGGTAGCTTCATATAGCTTCTTGTTACTAGTAGTAATGGCCTCCAAGCTACTAGCGATGGCATGGCCTCGAAGCCTTCTCTTCATGTCTCTTGTGGCTCAGCTTCCCTCACACCCCGCCTGTTTCTTAGGATCATTGGTCACCTGAGCCGCACTTGGACCACTTCCACAGAAGGAAAGCTTGGGGTCCGAGTTCTGTGAACAGGATCGGGATAGGGACATACCCAGACGCTCCATGGAATATATGCCGATCAGTTGGGGTGGTGCCAAGGGGCGTCAATGTAGGCCAGGCATATATATGGCAGTCCCATTAGTCGCCTCTGGAATATGATGTGAATCATGTTTACCTTTTTCGCGGGATCGGTCCATGGCACAAAAAGGAAGACGACGAGTGGGACGATCGATGGAACCCTGCCACGTTTCGAAGTGAGAAGCAAAAACACCCGAAAAGAAACACGTCTCCGAGACATGCACCTGTTTTGAGACGGTTCTCCAGGGTTCCTGTTCCGTGGCCATCACGTGGCGGGCACCGAAAAGGCCCATCACACTGCCCATCACCTGTTAGTTTCCGTGTATTCCATTTGGGCCCGGCAGTCAATGCGTTGCCAATCCGCACGTTCTCCCCTGCGAAACCGCCAGGAACATGGACCTATACTTAATGTCCGCCCACTTGTGCACCCAGGTCGCCAGTCCCTTCTTAATTTCGAGGGGCCCAAACTGCCAACATTCCTTCAGGAGACAACCTCAGGCGGATTGGAGACTCCTTTGGAGCAGACTGGCTGAGGAGGGCTTAGGTATGCTTGGGTGGAGGATGGGCACATTCTTTTTCACTCCAAACCCAAACTTGCTTCACTTCCTGAGACAACCAAGAAGTTGCACGCAACGCTGGCTTCTAGGCTTCTGACATGATAGGCTTCAGGGAACTAGACAGAATGCAACTGTTGGCCTACCACTGGCTACCACCCCTAGTTCACAACGGCTATGACTCTTTCTTCAAGGACATGGAAGCGGAACAGGGCCTAGTTTCCAGTTCCAAAAGGCCAAAACAAAGTTAAATGAATGCTTGATGATATATTGTAATTGCCCTTGTTCACAAAGGTTTGATAGAGATCCAGGGTTGGGGGTTGGAGGGTCAGTCCCCCTTCTGACGATGTGGAAAGCCCTCAACAAATACCAAATGCATCCAAATGCAGCAAGGACTGAATCGACAACGTGAGACAGACTCTTGCTTTGCTCAGACTCCTTTGCGAGAACAGGAAAGAATACTAACTCTTGACACATGCTTAAAACAAAAAAAACACTCCGCCAAATATGCTCAGGAGATTTTGTCCAGGGTCAACGCCGAGTACTGCGGTGGACTGTGGGTTTCATCGAAGCTGGCAGATGTTTCCCAACCCTGGTCAGCTTAAGCGCGGCTGGGCCTCAACTGTGCGAGGGGGATCTCTTTGAGCTGTATGGGCCGGCAAGAGGCGTAGCGCACGCCTTCACATCGAGCACTTCAACCAGCGCTTTTGAAAAGAAAAGAGGAACCCATAACTCTCAAATGGCCCCTATAAAATGGTGACCAACCACGGGTCTTTTGCATTTCAATAGTCCCCAACTGGACCCTTTATGGTTACCATTGGTTTTTGAAATCACATGGTGACCTAGATGAACTTGTGGATTCTGTGGGCTCACGGTTAATGAAATGACAGCTTTGGACTGCTATGACAGCTTTAGTCGTCCAACCGAAAACTGGCATCCCCAGAGAAATCGTCTATTATACAGTATAAAGGGACTTTTTAACGAAACAACATTGTTGGGGAGTGCGGGGTGTGGGGATGCCCAACAAAGAAAAAACCATGCGCATGTCGCTGAAGGATGGAGTAGGAGATCTTGTTGGTGACTTGGACTGCTTTGACCCCTGCTAAATGAGATGAATCCCCAAACAATCGCTTAACTCGGATGCTGTTCTTCTTTGAGACGAAAACAACTAGAAACACATAGCTCAGGACAGCCACAAAACGTCACAACCTTCACTGGCCCTCTGTGTGGTAGGAGGTAAAAGACCATGTTTTACTATATTGAGACCAACTGCTCACCCTAGCAAACATCACCAACCAAAGTACAACCGTATCGCCAGTTCCCCCACCATGTCAGGCAAGGTCGGCTTACACCGAAAGTTTGTTGAATGATTATGTGGGAAAGGCAGGGGCACGGCGGCCCAAGGCGAACAGCGTGTTGAACACCGTGGCCTCGGCTTTTGCTTTCCCAAGGCGGATCCATCACCACGGCGGCAAAGCGCGAAGCGATCGGCGGTGGAACATCGCCAAGGAAGACATCGCCCTGGGCGAAAGAGGTCGCCCTGGAGGGTGTGCATTCCAACAGGGAGACCCCCCAAAAGAGGTCCTCTCGGGAAACTCAAAGAACCGACTTTAACGGAACAAGTCTCCTATATAGTTTGGATTTCTGGATCATCTCTTGGTAGACGAAGCTTGGGAGTGGCCTGCTGGAGGTTGCCATGTTGACACCGCGAGAACCTTCGTTCGGAATCTGACACAGCAAGACATATTGTTTTGTTATTGGATGTAGATGAACGAGATTCAATGAAGCGCTTAATCTGATATAACAAGGATCGAACAACATCGATCAAGGACGATGAATGTCGAAGCCTCGCCCCACCCACCCACGACAGGCTGGACCCAGGTCCGGTTCTTGCCTGGACCCAGGCGCTTGCTTGCGGCAGCACGAAGCCGCGCCGTTCCACTTCCACCGTGGACCTCCAGTCACCAGTTCGGGGTGCTCCGGAGCGGATTCCACCGATCCCGGTTGGATCGACCTCCGGTTTCCTGTCACAGCCTGTCACATCCCTTTTGATTTCCTGTGTTTGAGATGGGCAGGTAGGTCAACAGGGAAAATAGAAACCAATCTCATCCAATCTCATATCTCCGCCGAGCCCAGCCGATGATGGGGGAGTCGGAAGGGGCTCAAACGGGCGAAAGGCGCGTGGGTGCCGGAGAGAGGACTCAAGCTGGCGAACAGGCTCAGGTGATGGGGATGTTGAAAGAACTGATGTTAAGTATGAAGATGTATGAAGATAGTGAGTGCAATGGATATACACAATACATTACCATATGTTTTATTACGTTCCATGTTTTTTGCTTAGGAGCTATAATTGGTCTAGTCCCTGGAAGAATCCTGAATGTATAGACCAAATCGTTGTTACTGAGCATTTCAGATCTGTCTGAAGCGCTCAGTTTCCCTGTTTCAAGCAATCCTCCGAACTAAGCCACAACTCGATCTGGCCAGTGCAAACTGGCCAGCAGGGCCCTTCCAGGAACAGTAGAACAAGATTCCGACAACTTTTACAACAGTCCGCCCCTTTTTTTCTGAGAAAACACTTGCTCTATATAGTAAGATAGTAGAACTTAGAATGCCTGTTTGAGTTCCAAACGCATAGAATGCATCTCCGTCTTAGAATGCCCGCAGCATTCTAAGTTCCAGTCCGATATTTATTCCTAAAAACGACGGTTTAACATGTTGTCACAAAAATAGAGGTTCTCAATAGGAACCAAAAAAGGCAATAAGAAATCAAAAGGAAGTCAATAGGAATCTAAAGGACATCAAAAGGAATAAAAGGAAAACACTGGGAACTCAAAAGGACATCAGAAGGAATCAATGGGAAATCAACAGGAATCAAAAGGAAATCAAGGGGACCCCAAAGGAAAGCAATAGGAATCAGAAGGAAAACAATGGGAAATCAGAAAGAAATCAATAGGAATCAAAGGAAATCAATGGGAAATCAAGAGAAAATCAATAGAAGTCAAATGGAAACCAATAAGAACTCTCAATGAAGATCACCGGCTCCACACCAGCAAGGAAAAGAGGTTGTCGCATCACTCATCCAGGATAGGTTTGAGGCATTCTATCTCCTTGCACCGCGTGGTGGGCATTCTAATAGGCAATGTTCTTTATTATCTTAATTTATCTTATTTTAAGGAGCCCATCCACACGGGCATTCTAAGTTTCAGTCCGTGACTATATACACATATTATAATGTATATATATAAATACGAAAGCACACAAATATCAATGTATATATACTATAATATACACCGTGTTCCTTCACCGGCAGGCATGCAAGAGCTGTCCACACAGCCCTGAGCCACAGAGAACGACATCACATCACAAGTTCAAAAGCAGAAATTAGAGAAGTTCTTTGGGTTTTCCATCATCACCAAAAAGCCCACACCTATGCAGACACCCGGGGAAACAAGTAAACCGCGATTCCCATCTGTCACAAATCCCAGTAAATATGCAGATATGCAGAAAACCAAACATCTGTTGCACTTATTCTAAGTCGAAGTGCCGTAAGGGTATCTGCAGCGGAGGTAGCTGCACTGGTAGCGTAGCGGGCTAACAAGGTAGGTGGTGGTAGCGAACACGAAGCGAGCCCACCCAACCAAGGATCGCAATGATCCGGAGCACCTTTTCTCAAGTGCCGTCGAAAGGCCTCCTAGGCCTGTGTAGCCACCATGGCTGGGTTCCAGCCGAACGATCCGTGGATCAAAAGGGGGCCCCCTGGTTTGGGCCATATGCAAATGAAGAAAACATGGTGGCACCTGATACATGTCCCAAAGCTGCACCAGGACAAAAGGAAGTCAGGTGATCACCATGTGCCTCACTCAGAAGCTCGTGACCTGGTAGGTCTCTGGCAATGATTGCAAGCTCCATGAACTTGCCCTGCATGGACTCCCAGAAGTCGTGGTGTCCTTCATCACCTAGCGAGTCATCCATGTGGGCCACTGCGGACTTGCCAGCTTTCTTGTTCTTCTTGGCTGCCACGAAGTTGTGGTCGAATGCCACTGACCATCGCCAAATGGTCATGAACTTTTCCAAGCTGACACGACTGTCCGGCCGCTTCTTTGTTAGGCCGTCGGCCAAGTCGTAATCAGATGCCACCCATCTGAGCTCACAGCCAACACGGTCCAGGTTGTCTCTCAATTGAAATGCCTGAAGGGCGGACCGAAAGTTGGATAGCCCCAACAGCGGGGATTCGTTGACCTCTATGGCGTCGAACCCTCCTCTCGAATCCGTGCACAGGATTCCACGCACTTCCAGCACTTGCTTCTCCACCGCCTGCACCAGACCAGTGCGATCGAGTTGAGGTCGTCGACCGCCGGTGTGAAGGTCTGTCCAAAGCACTCTCACTCGAAAGTTTTGGTCCTCGGCCTCTAAGATGCTCTGGACTTCAGCGTCATTTGATCCGATGCTTTTCCGACGCAGCTTCCAGCTCCTCCAGCTCAGCAGGCACATAGGAGTGACCTGGCCAGAAAGACACGCAGGGCCTGCGGCCATCGTCAGCATTCCTCCTGTGCTGTCACCCTTTGGCCTGTTTGCGTGTGCTTGGTCGCCCATGGAGATGAAGACGATGTCATTCCATTTCTTGACGCCGTCCAAGGGGAAGAAGCGCAAGTGAGAGGGTTGTCGCCGGACTTCACCAACCATAGCTTGGATCTCTCTTGCTTCAGACAAGGTACCATTCACCGTGACTTCAGTGAGCAGGATGTTGCACCGAGAGCAAAGGAGAGGTTGAGTCTGGATGGCGAGCCATTGAAGACCTCCAAGGGTTGTGCGACAAGCAGCCACTTCTCGTGGTGTGAGCTTTCCTTCCTGCCGAAGTCTTTCAGCAGGTATGTCCAGGTCCGGCAGTGCCTCCACATAGGCATCTTGATGCACAGTCACCATGAACTTGCCGTCCTTATAGGGCTTGGTGCGAACATCAGTGCCTGCATGCCTGTAGTCACGACGGCGAGCAGTGCCCCACTTGTATGCAGCATCGATGCGAGTGCATATCTCTCGCCACTCCTGGGAGGTGTTGTCACCAATGCGGTTGAAGTCGTCGACGTGTCCTCCCATGCATCCCAGCAACTTGGGATATCTGCCAGTGACATCTGTCTCGGTGGTCGAAAACCATGCCCACATTGAGCGCTCTCCAAGAACAGCTTGACCACCCAGCTTGACCAGAGTGCGATGAAGGTCCAGCCAAAGACCACGTGGAGCGGTGGTACTGCCGTAAATGTTTCGAAGAACTTTGAGGATGCCTTCTTGACCCACTCCCAAGGCCTCACGAAGCTCAGCCACACCTGTCGTCCAGAGATTGGCATCTGCTTCAGTGGGTTGAGTTTGCAGGAACGCTGTGGCCAAATCTAGGCCTTCCAATTCCCATTGATGATGGCTGGCAAGCAGGTAGATGATGTTGCGACCAATCATGGAAGTGACAGGAGCCGATGTCTTGAAGGAGCGATCGAGGAGGCTGGGATGTTGGAAGCCCAACAAAACGATCCTGGCCTTGGCTTTTCGCCTGGCATCTGGCGTCACGGTTGTGCAGGGGTTGTTGGCCAAGTCATCCAAGGCTTCTTGACGTTCCTCCTCCGGGATGGCTTTCCATACAAGGATCCATCTGGCCTTCAGGATGCGGTTGCTGTCATAGGCCTGCTTGATCTCCTCTGATGAGAGACATTTCCTCACCGCCTCATTCTTGATGAAGCTTGAGACTTCTTTGTTCTTGGCATGAGTGAAGAGTCGTTGCAAGGCCGGTGTCAACTTGGACATGTTGACCTCAGAGGAGTTCATCTTTTTGATCATGTAGGCCACAGGGTTTCTCTCGAGGAACTTGCGTTGACGATGTGATGTTGCCTCTACCTCAAAGGTGACAGTCAGGATGTCCTCATTCTCCTTCACGAGTTGATCCAAGCTAAAGGCTTGTTCCTCAAGAGCTGCATCATCTTGCAGCTTTTCCACCCATGAGAGATGTAGTAGATCATCTTCTTCACCACGAGCTCTCTTGGACGCCGGTTCTTGAGCAATGTCTGGCTCGGTGGGTTCATATTCATTGACCGACACCTCATCATCTCCAAGTCCAGGAGGATGTTGATCATCTCCTGCGCCAAGTCCAGACGCAGCAGGTCCAGGAAGTCCAGAGTCAAGACCTGCCGAAGAGCTGGGCCTCGAGTCCAAAGGCCGATCAAATCCAAGAGGTACGATGCTCTTCTTTTCAAGTCCAAGTGGAGATGATCGATGAACCACACGATAGTCTTCGGGTGCCAGTGTTGACTTGGTGGTCTGACGCCTGATAGGAGCATATGTGGTGGAATCAGGATACCAAGGAAGATTGGGATGTTCTGGCTCGTTCTCGGCAGGAATCTCATCAGTGAGGTCCTGGTACTCTTTCTTTGGCATGATGTCGGCCAGAGTCTTCCATTGGCTGATGTCTTCCTTGGATGTCACCTCCCATCGAAGACGTTCAGGTTCAGTGACAGGACGAACACTCAGAGCAGAGGAGCGAAAGAGTTTGCCCTGCATGAGAACCCACACCACATGCCTTCGGTGATCTTGAGGATCTTGATGTGGCAATGCCTCGGAGAAGATGACCCGTCCAGGGCCGATCCATCCAGGTCTCTGACTTTTCCTCCTTCCACCACGTGGTCCTTCAAGTTCAGGATGAGCTCGACGCCAGATCTTCACAAGATCGGTGCACTTGTAGTCTCTAAGAGGTTGCCGTGCCTTGGAGTTGGAGAGCCGCATCAAGATGCGTCCAGCTCGATGCTTGCGAGCGACTTGCTCAGCCTGATGTCGGGCTGACACCAGTTTGGAGTATGATAGTTTGTCCTTGATCTGGTTGAAGGTCATGTAGTCTTCATCCAGCAGGCTGTGGTCCTTGCCGAAGGCCCATTGATGTGAAGTGTAGCCGGAGACATATTCCGTGGAGTTCAGGGCA